TGCCTTGATGGGTTGTAAAGTTTCAGAAAAGAGACGATGTCGGGCACCTATGAGGAGGGCTTCCACGTCCGGCCAGGAAAGGCTTTCCTGCCTCTCCGAGGACTCTCCAAGGGCTCTCCTCTGGGCCTGGGGCCCGAGGGACCCTTGCAGCCCACAAGCACTGGGGTCGGGAACGCCTGTCCCCAGACAAGCCAGGGGCTCCTGTGCAGGCTGAGAACTAAACTAGAACCTTCCATAAGGTCAGGTTCGTTTCCAGCCTCTCTCCCCGTGCACCCGATTTGGCTACTTTCTCTCCTTCACAATAGCAGATGCTTTTTCCAAGTGGTCGTGCTCATTCATGGGAGTGGTAAGAGCATATTTTTAGTAGTAATAAGGACATGCCAGATATTGTTGGGTCCTTGGTGATTCACATTGTGTGTGCCCATATATTATAGTGGTGAAACCAAAAAAAATCACCATTTACCAAACGCCAGCCCGCATGCCAGGTACCTTCACTCCGGAATCTTATTTAATCTTCTCTACCATTCTGTAGGGTGGGCAGCTGGTATCTCCATTTTACAGTTGAGCAAACTGAGGCTCTGAGAGTTGAAGCAAGTCACCCAAGGCCATTCAGCCAGGCAGTGGCCGGGCTGACTCTACATCCCCACAGGACAGTGGGGAGGAAGCCTTCAAGTTGGACCACGGTCCCCTCTGCTGAAGGCCAGATATTTATGATTGTCATGTCCATTAAAGTCATTTTGGCCCTTGGGTCCCAGCACCACATGCATTTGAATTTTTGTACCTGGGGATCCACGACCCAGAGCTCACCACTCGGCAGATGAGGCCTCTGGAGGCCCTGAGTGTCGTCCTTTGTGATCTAGATTGAAGAGGAAACCAGATCGCGCTCTGGGCTGAGCTGGCCACCTGCAGCACCTTCTCCTCTGAGTCTGTGGATCCGCCTCCCTGCTGGGGACCTGCCCTTAAGCGCCCCTCCTGGCTCTCCCTCCCAGGCCTCCCTGCCTTCCTGGACTCCCCTCACCTCTCCTCCAGCCTGCAGATGAGGCCTGCCTTGGCCCACGGCATTGGGCATTGGCTCCCGGGACGTAACAACCCAGCAGCCCCCGGCTGGGATGCCCATCCGGCCTTCCCTGCCAGCCTCCCGCCGACCCTTTTATCTCACAGCTAAACTGCGGGTTCCCTCCCCCCCACATGCATTCCTCCCCGGCCAGTCTGCCGGGTCTTTGAGTGTGCAGGGTCTTTGAGTGTGCATATGCACGCGGGCTCCCACCCCTTTCGTGGGTCCCGACCCTCACCTCGTCCCTCGCCTCGCTGCATGAAGGTGACTAAGAATGGATGGATTTGCACGTTGCTCCTGCTTGCCGCGGATTATAGCCTGTGTGGACGGCATACATGTCTGATGTCTGCCTGTGTACGCTGTCAGCCTAAATGTTGGGCCAGCGGTCCCTCCCCCCGGGAGATCCCTGGAGGCTTTACGTGAATGAGAGAGGCATTTTTTTTTTTACTCCTCTCCTGGCATAAATCCGTTCTCGAGTTGGGTGTGTGGGTGACTGCAAAATAAATGTTGATCACGGCATGGGCATCAGGAGGCAGCCACGCCAGGGGCTCTGCCGGGATGGAGGCCCCGGGGTGACTCACACCGGCGGCAGTGGGAAGGAAGGGGAGGGCTCTGGGTCTAGGCCACCCTCCTCCCCCATCCTCGTCCCTTCTCTCTGCCCGCTGCTCTTCTGTCCTCCTTACGTTCCCTCGTCCATCCTCTGCCTCCAGCCGGGCAGGCCCTCTTCAGTCCTTGTGCATCTCTGGGGGTGGGGGCTTCCTAGCCAGGCTCCCCCATCTCGAGGCTTCCCCACCCCTCCGCCCGACTCTGTGTCCTGAGCACCGGGGATCATGCTCACTGGGCTTAGTGGGCTCAGTGAAACCTCCTGAGAGCTCTGGAAAATGGGAACCTTTGTCCCCTATCGCAGAAGAGATGGGCTCACACAAACAGACGTGTGAGAGATGCAGCTGACTCCACAGCCTCTGTGGCCTCCCGAAGGGCCACTTGACAAGGAAGAATGTTCCTGACCCCTTACGTTGAAATAGAGGAGGGAAAAGCATCGTTACTTTGTCCTTTTGTGGTTCCCCACACATTTAGGGCTCATTTCCTGCCTGCTATTTTGCTCTTCTGTTTTGTGGTTCTTAGTCTTATCCTTCTAACCAAATTATGAGGTCCCTGAGAGTGGGGATCTTGGGGTCCCACCAGCAGCCTGCATCAGCCTCGCCCAACAGAGTGGATGGTGATGGGAAGAAGACGAACAGTAGCTCCTAGAAACCTAGTCCTTCCTATGCTCCAGCACTGTTACCAAATTCTATCTCCCCGATCTCCTTGCCCTTAAAAGCACACGCATTTAAGTTAGATCCGAGAAGGAACCCCAACCTCCACCTTTCTCTGGTGATCTGGTGACTTCGGGGCACGTCACCAGACGTCTCTGTAAAGTGGGTCCTGTTATGCGGATCCCACCCCTTATATACATGATCTCATCATCTACAAGCCTGACCTGAAGGAGGAGCTTTAAGGCAGGGCCTTTCCGTATCCCTACTCCATTTTACAGATGGGGAAACTGAGGCCCAGGGAGGTTGAGGAAAATGCTCAAGGTCACACAGCTCGTAAGTGGCAAAGATAGGGGTGCAGGCCGGGCCTGCCAGCCTGAGAGCCAGGTTCCTCCCCACTCTGTTCATCTGCAGAGCCAGGGGCTGCCCCTCCCTACTCCCCCATCCCTGTTTGCTGCTTCCTATCTCTTCCTCCTCAGGCCTTGCTCCCGGGGTTCCTGAGGCGCTGAGCGAGCCTCTTGGGGGAGAAGCAGAGCTGTTGTGTCATGGGGGTCTCTGTGGGCTTAGCTGGCCTGGGCGCCGGGACCTGCCACCTCCTGTGGCCAGGCCTTGCCATCTGCACCCGACAGGGTGGGCCGGGAGCTCCTCCAGCAGAGCCTTTGAGTCCCGGGACTTAGGGAGCCAGTCACAACTTCCACAGAGGCTCACAAGCCTGTGGGGCGCCCAAAGATCCATGGTCCTTTCTTCTCCAGATGACTTTGGTCTCAGAGGAGAGTAACATCATTTTCTGCCAGGCTATCTGTCCTCTGTCACTCAGACGCTGGGGCCACGGCGACAGTCGGCTTACTTATAATTTCTGTGGTAAATCTCTTTGTTTCTCCCGTCATTTCTGATCACTCCAGATTGAGCACAGAAATGCAGAAGGCAGGATGGGGGGGGGGGCTAACCCTGTCCTCCTGGGGACCCAGGAAGAAGGGACATCACAGGGGAAGAACATGATTATAATCAGTTCAAAGCCCACCTTTACCTCTTACTGACTGTGTGGTTTGGACAAGTGACAGCTTTTCCAAGCCTCAGTCTGCCCATCTGTAAAATGAAAATTAAGATGCCCATCTCCATGGGACAGCCTGTATCACGCGCCTGGTCCATCATACAGGCTCAGTAAACAATGGCTGAAAGGAAATGGGCTGGCCACCTTCTATCTGCCTTAAGCTGTGGAGACGCAGAGCTGGCTAGAAGAGTGGACGCTTCCTTTTCCCAGAGGCAGTTTAGGATTACGGTGAAGAGTGAATCTTGAAGAATGGATGGATCCACCATCCTGTCTGGAGCGGGAGTGTACCTTGCCTGGTACATGGGCATCCCCCGTGTGCCGCAGCGTGGGGCCTGGGCAGGCGGCTCGGGGCAGTGTGCGTGTGGGCCTTCGTGGGCCACACTGAGGAGGGATTCTGGACCTGGCTTAACCCACGCTCTAGGTCCTGCCCTTGCTGCGTCCTGAGGGGGCCTCCGGCGTCTCCCCCAGCCCAGCCTCAGGAAAGCAGGGTGCACCCCCCGGAGTGCCTGCCCCCAGTGAGCCCTCACCCGGATACCTCGCAGCTGTCCTCCCCGCCGTGCGTCTGCCTCCTCCCTTCTACAGGTGAGGTCGTGGGGAGCCTGCATGGTGGCGGGCAGGGGGCTCATTCGGGGGTGGCACTCACAAGAGAATGGTGGCTGGGACTCAACTAGAGAAGCCAAGGCTGGTGAAACGGGGGTTTCTTTTCCCTCCTTCCCTCCTTTTTCTTTTTTCTTAAGCAAGAGGTAAATAAATGTCGCCCTGAGATGACAAGAGAACATTGAAGGAGATAAAAGCATAGCAAAAGGGAGTGAGAGACCAGAAGCAAAGGACAGAGGGGCATGTGGACCATACCCCACGTGGAGGGGAGAGATGAAAGAGGAAAGAGGAGGTGGGAGCGCAGGACCGAGTGGCAGAGCAGAGGATGGGGTTGCCACGGAAACGAAAGGAGGGGAGGAATGGAGGGAAAGGAAGACAGGATGGAGAAGGCTGAGGTCTCCGAGAGGGCGGGGCCTGGTGAGGAGGAAGGGAAGCCAGGAGGGGCTCCCAGGGCTGACTCCGGCCCTGGCGGGGAAACTGAGGTCAGCAGGGGTAGAAGACGCAACCCGGAAACCTCATTCCCCGCCCAGCGCTGGCCCGGGCCCTGGGGAGACTCCCCACCCTGCAGGGGCTGCCTCTCTCCAAGCCACCGTGTCCACAACTACAGAACGGAAATGGTCCTCCCAACCCCAGAGGGCTGCCCGGAAGCCTAGAAATTGTGTGTGCTCATCACGGGGCCTGACAAAGTTCAAGCCCAATAAATGCCCCTGTCGTTCCTTCATCTGTGATTCTTATCTTTGTCCCATGAACTCGTAAGCCCAAGTTTTTGTTTGTTTTTCCCTGTGACAGGAAGCTGGTGATCTTTGGGTCCAGCAGAGGGTAGTAGTTTGGAGGGCAGATGTGCTTTTTGCTTCTGGATTTGGAGGAAAGACATGGAGTTTTCCGGAAACATGAGGCCTGCTGTCCCTTCTCCTGGGAGCAGGCACTGGTCCTGGAGCTCGAAGAGAGGAAGTCTAGGCTCAAGGGAGGAGGCTGGTTCCACCCGGGGCTCAGCAAAGGGCCTCTTTTTTTTTTTTTTTTTTTAAAGATTTTATTTATTTATTCATGAGAGACAGAGAGAGAGAAGCACGCTCCCAAGGAGCAGGGAGCCCGATGCGGGACTCGATCCCAGGACCCTGGGGTCATGACCTGAGCCGAAGGCAGACGCTTAACCGTCTGAGCCACCCAGGCGCCCGGGCCTCTTTTTTTTTCTTTGCACTTGAATATGGGTCTTCTCAAAAGGACAGTCTTCGTTCTGGGTGTGCACTCTGCTGGGAATGAGCTGCGGAAGCATACAGACGTGCTCTTTGCCCTGGCCTTGTCGGCTGTGATCTAACCGGAGTGCCAGACAGCAAGCCAGTAGTTACGTAAAGAGATACATCATTACGATTTTTAATAAGGTCCAGGAAAGAAAAGTATTGCATGTCTAGCTTCTTAGAACTTGGGGGAGTCAAACCTGACTGGGGTCATGAGGAGAGTCAGGGAAGGCTTCCAAAGGGCTGCCCCGTTGAAAGGTGAAAGATGAGGAAGAGCATTCCAGGCAGGGGGAACAGCGTATGAAAAGGCTGTGTGCGGGCAGGTCTGTTAAAGATGAAAAAAGCCCACGTGTCTGGGGGATGATAAGGGGACGAGCAGCATGCTGAGAAGCTGCCACATGGGGAGAAACCAATCACGCTCAAGTTCTTCTAAGTCCTTGGTGGAGATGTTTGCCCTTGACTGTGGGAGGAGGGCAAGTGGCCTGGGTCCTGAGCAGGGGAGCCAGGACTGTTTTAGCCTTTGAGGTCAAGGGGCAGGTGTGAGGGCCAACTCTTGAGAACTCAAGACACTTCCTGCAGGTTGGTTGAATCCCTTGCTGCCTGATCCCACCGTGCCCTCCCTCGAGGCCCCCAGGCCTTGGAAGGCAGACACCCCGGTGGGAGTGGCCACCGTGTTTGTTGACATGGTGGGCAGAAACCTACCAGGAATCAAGAGCTCTCAGGTTCGTCCCTGTGGTGGGGGGAGGGCTTGGGGCGTCGCTTCCCTCATCTCTAAATGATGGCATTGGACAGGAGGGTCCACAGAGTTCCTTCCAGCCCTGCCGATGGGATTCCAAAGCCAGCCTTGAGGGTACACAGCCCGAGTGGCCGTGGTGAAGGGCCTTCAGCAGGGCCACTGTCCCGCTGTGGGAGAACCGAGCTTCCTTCCTTTGTGGTAAAGAAACAGATGCATCTGCCCAGGGAGCCGGTGGGGCAGCAGGTGGGAGGACCCGGGGCCCACAGCTTCTGGGGGCCTGGTGACTTCAGATCAGAGACACCATATCACTCCCACACCAGCATCAAGGGGAAGCTACCCTGGGTCCCGTGGGTAGCTCTGCAGACGGCGTGGCATTTCTCCCATAATTTCTGCATCAGATGCCTGGGTCGTTTTAGACAGGCTCATTTCTACAAGGATCAGAGACCCACCCACCTGACCTCAGGACAAAGGGGGTTGACTGTCAGCAAGGGATCCCCAGGCTAGAAGCAGGGGCTGGCCCCATCCAGAGAGCAGGACTCTCCCCAGGCCCCCCTGAAGGTGCTTCAGTCCACCTGGGGCCAGGGCTCTGCTCCTCTGAAGTGTGGGTGGCCTCCTCCTCAGAGAGCCGGGCACAGCCCCCAGCCCGCCTCCCCCACCCCCCATACCTCAGGCTTTCTCAGGAGTTCTGCCCACTCGTGTCCTGGCCTGACTCCATCTCACGGCACGCCTGCATGAAGTCCTTGGGCATCGGCTCCTGTGGTTAAGGGTGTGAGGCCTGATGCATAGCCATGTTTCCCAGAGAGGAACCCGTCTGGCCTAAGCCCACTGGGGCATGGGGAGGAGCAGGCCAAGGTCTGGGTCCAGCTGCCGTGTGCACTGCCTATGTGGGGGTGAGCTGTGTGGGGTAGCCCCGCGCTGGGAGGGGGGCAGGTGCCCATAGGGGAGGGAGAGGAAGGAGCCCACGCGGGGTGGGCTGTCACAGCTTCAAGAAGGTAGGGTCAGGGCGCCTGGCTGGCTCAGTCGGAAGAGTGTGGAGCACTTGATCTCGGGGTCATGAGTTCGAGCCCCACGTTGGGTGTAGAGATTACTAAAAATAAGTAAACCTAAAAAGAAAGAAAATATCCCTGGAGATTCCAGGCCCAGGCACTGTGCTCTTAATCAAACGAGGCCTTTGGACCCTGTGAAGCCAGGATGTCTGCCCTCGGGAGAGTCTGAGTCTGAGAGGTCACACAGATACAGTGGGCCCGAGGTTGTGCCTCTCGCCACGGGGACTCCATCCCTCGTTTCCTTGGGTGAAGGGGTCCCTGTGACCTCCCTCACACAGTGGCGGCCCTGTGGCAGCCAGGCCCACCTCAGCTCTCGGCTTGTAAAGCAGAGGTGGGGCCCCCAGGATGAGTCTCGGTGCCTGGGGCCTTCCAGGAGATGGAGAAGGGAAGGGCTTTCAGAACAGGCCTGTGGGAGGAACTGGCCCCACCTCTGCAGGCGTCACAGGTGGGAATAGCGCCGCGCTCGTGGGCCCGAGCCCCCGGGGACTCTGCCAGAGCAAAACCCTCTCTGTGAAGCCTGGAGTCCACCCCTGTGGAGGAGGCAGGACTGTCCCGGGGGTGAGGTGGCTAAAAGGGCACAGAAGAGCAAAGCGTCTGTGGAACTCTCAGGCAAGGATTCCCACCCCCCCCCACCCCCCCGGTCTCATTCATTCATTCTAGGTGCCTCAGTGGCTATCAGCTCTTTCCTCCCCCTTCCTCTAGCCTGGTGTCTGTCCCCCAGGACACTCCCCTACGGGGCCCACTCTGCTTCCCTACAGTCACTATCCTCTGGGTGGGCCGGCTGGTGGTGAGATGATCATAAACATACAGTTATGAATCAGCGTGATTGTACCGAGTTCTCCAGAGAAGCAGAACCAGTAGGATGTATATATATATATATATATATATATATATATATATATATATATATACAAAGAGAGAGATTTATTTTAAGGAATTGGCTCACCCAATTGTGGGGGCTGGCAAGTCCGAAATCTGCAGGGCAGACTGGCAGGCTGGCAACGCGGGCAGGATTTCCGTGATTCGGTCTTCAGGCAGAATCCCTTCTCTGGGAAATCTCAGCTGTTCTCCGAAGGCTTCAACCGATTGGCTGAGAGCTGCTGACATTAAGGAGGGCAGTCTGCTTTACTTCAGGTCAGCTGGTTGTAGATGTTAATCACATCCACAGGATAGTTCACAGCAACATCTAGATTAGTGTTTGAGCAAACAGCGGGGCACCATGGCCCAGCCGAGTCTATAGGAAAATTAACCTGAGGCCTCAGGCTGTGGAAGAGGCCCTTGCCCTGCCCACAGGCTAAGGAATGCTTCCCTGGAGGGGGGAATCCTAAAGGATAAGGGGGTATTCACTCAGTGCCAGGGAAGGGCAGGCCTGGCAGCGGAGTCAGCCTGTGCAAAGGCCCTGAGGTAGAAGACCGGTTTTGTGTGCGTGTGTACGCACACACTGCAGAGAGGCAGGAAGGCTTGATGGAGGATCAGGTGGAGCCTAGCTGGGGACAACACTGAGCAGCCAGCTAAGACGTGAGGACTTTATCCTGCAGGCCATGTGGCTGAGGATAGGCTCCGGGGCCCACAGCCTATACTCTAGTCCTTGCCTCACCTTCTCACTGTGTGACCTTGGACCAGTCCCCTCCCTGGGCCTCACTTTCCTTACCTGTAGAAAGAAGTGGCTGGACACAGTGTACGTGTACCTCAGGCTCTTGTGTGGTTTGTGGGTTGGAGGCACTGTGTTGGTGGCCCAGCCACCCTGACTCCTGGAGGCGGGCTCAGCAAATCTGCCCATAGAGAAAAGGGGAAGCTGAGGCAGAGAGAGACTCGCACACTTCCCCCTTGGCCGCCACACCCCATCCCCACCCGCCCCCTCAGCACGGCCCTCATGCCCCGAGTCCAGGGAGGCCCAGGGCCGAGTCCAGTGAGGCCCAGGGCCAGCAGAAGTGAGACTGTGGCAAGGAGCCCTGAGGTTTGCACAAGACTCCAGCCCTGGCTTTTGCTTCCTCTTCCTTTCTGGGGATTCACCTTGAGGTCTGCAGTGAGGAAGACAGCCAAGGACACAGCGGGCAGTTTTGCTGCGAGTGCTTACAGCCCCGGACATACCTGCGACTGCCTTTTCCCCTCCCCGGGCCCAGCTGCCCTCCCGCCCCACCCCAGCCTCCGCTTGTCCACACCCGGGGGACAGAGGGCCCAGCCGCAGCCCCTGCACGCATGGGCATGCACCCCCCCAAGGGGTGCAGCTGGTGCCGGGGGCAGAAAGGGACCCTGAGCCACATTCCAGAGGGTGCAAATGCCAGACCGAGGAGTGAGACCATCCTCTGTTCTCTACTGGGCCCTGAACTGTCTCTGCAGGGCCCCAGGCCTCAGCCCTGCCCCCACCGGGCCCCAGTGCTGCGCCCCTGCCTCCCCCGCCCCCCAGATCCCGGTACTTCCACTGTTAACTGAGCTCGCTCAGGGTGGCTCCTTGAGGGCTGCAACTTTATTTTGCTCTCTACTGTATCCCTACAATCAAGACCAGTACCCAGCACCTCGTGGGTACCCGGGAGCTGTGGCTGAGTCGGTGATTCAGTTGCAGGACTGGAGACACAGCCTCTGGGCCACCTGGTGGTCCAAGGCCAAGATGAAGGGGCCAAGGGCCAAACCTGCCCTCCCAGCAGAAGCCCGGAGCACCGTGCAGCCTTTGTGGGGGCACAGGCCCTGACACCTACTAGACCCTCAAGGAATAGTCATCACAGTAAACGGGTCACAGCGCATGGGGACATCCCAGAGTGGGGTTGGCAGAGGCCCCAGGGCATTATTCCTATGCTGTCAGTTGTTTCTTGAGAGGATGTCCTGGTGGTAGAATTTACTCAAAGAATAACCTGCAGGTCACTTCCTTCCCAGGGCCCCCAAGGCAGACCAGGCCTCCAGTGCCTTCCACCCGAGCTCTGCCCTCCGTGTATGTTCTAGGGACACTGGCCACCCCGAGCTCCCCAGCCCTGTCCTGCTCTCAGAGCGGGGATGCGTGGAGGGGCTCTCACTGACGGGAAAGGCTCTTCTAGAACAGTGTGGGGGGAACAGGGGTGCTGCCACATCTCACAGAGGGGACCCGGGGTGACAGGCAGGTAGGCCAAGGATTAACTTGCCCTCAGCGTTCCAAGAAGCCACGTGTGCTTTTTTATAGACAAGGAAACCAAGACCTTGTGTGGTCAGGTGACTCGTCCAGCATCACACAGCAAGTCACCCCTTAATGCATTTGACAAGAGTGTCGGTGTTGACGGGAACACTTAGAGTATAGCAGTAGGTGAAGTGACAGCGCTCTGGGGGCCCGGGTCCCTGCCCGGGTGGGGAAGGCCTCCTGCTGGGCCTCAGAGGGTAAGGCTTGGGGCGCTCCCCAGGGGGCTGGCCTGGGTGATGCTGGGCCCTGGGAAATAGGGCTGCCCCTCCTACCTCCCCGCCATGGCCTCCCTTCCCCGCACTCCCAGTCCCACTCTTTAGGCTACAACCAAGCAGCTATTCTATCTCCTCTGTTTTCCTGCCTTTGCCATGTCCTTTCTCTCCACATTGGGAACCAAGGGTGCCCTGGCAGGAGGCTGAGCTGCATCCTGCCCAGATGGATGCCCCTCACCTCCTAGCGAGGCCGTGGAGAGCCCAGGAAGGCCTGAGCTCCCCTTTCTCTGGGACACAGTGGTGAGCTTTGGTTCTGAGCCCCACACAAGGGGGGGCCTTGAGGAGGGGGCGCCTGGCCCACAGGTGGTACACACCTGGCAGGCTCTCCTCCAGGCCTCGAGCTAGGGCATAAAACAGGAGGGCTGTAGCCAGTGGGGCGGAGGGGGGGAGGATGCCCAAAAGATGACCCAGGAGGAGGAGAAATAGGAACACTGGGTTGCAGAGTGTCCCCACCTTCCCACTCCTCGTTTCTGTGTCTGGTAGACGGAGCACGCATGCAAAATGCAGGTAAATTAGATTCCCTGTCTTCCTCTTCTGAGCCTCTGTCTCAACAAACAGAGCCCATCTGAAACCCACGCGCGCACACGCACACACGTGCAGCCCGCATTGCAGCCTGAACGTGCACTTGCGGTGGGGGGTGGGGGCGGGGTGCGGTGTTCTGCTCAGGCAAGTGTCTGTCCGGCGCACGGGAAGAGCAGGGGTCTGACTGGCCAGGCAGGTATGGGGCTGATGCAGGGTTCCAGCAAGAAGTGCGGTATGAGTAGAGAGCCGTGGAGGGGCTCTAGCTGCCCTGGAGGGGTCCCGGACCAGCCGGACAGGGACAGCTCTGAGGCTTCCCAGTTGCAGGTCGCCTGAGCACCTGCTGGCTCCTCGGACCCTGGGCACCACAGGGCAGCACCTGGGAGCCGAGGCCGGGCTCAGAGCTGTGACGCGACCTACCAGGTGGTACAGATTAAAGGAGCAGAGCTAGAGGCATGGGGCCCAGATGGGGCTGGGCTGTCGGGCCCACACGCCTGGGTGCAGACCCAGCTCTGTCCTGACTGATGGGACACTCGAGCCTGTGACTGAGGCCCTGGGTTCCTGGGCTGTGAAATGGGGTGCATCCCGCCCCCACCCCCCCCCATGGGGTTGTTTTAGGAGTAAATGGCTCACCTGGGACCTTGTGAGCACTTGGTAATGGGAAGCTAGCTCTTCTGCCCACATTTAGGGTTAATTGTTGGCTCCCCTGTGTCCCACGCCACATGGGCACAAACCCCTCATGAGCAAGAACCCTGGGCAGGTCCCCTTTCACACCCAGGCAGAGGCTCCTGTCACAGGAACATTGACTCCAGCCCCAAAGTCAAAACTGCCTGCCTGCTCCCAGGGGAAGGGGACGCCTGGTTGGCCAGAGGGGCTGGTGTGATCATTAGGAGTGGCCCCTTTCACTCCAAAAGGTCAGTCCTAGCCCTGATGATAAACTGGACGGTGACCCGCCCCACGGGGGCCCACGCCAGACCTGTGCCCCGCTCCCGCGGCTCATCTCCCAGAGGGATGATGGCTTCTTTGCTCCCATTCACTTGAGGTCGCTGGGGGTGGGGTGGGGGGGAGGTGCCAGCTTTGGGGCCGCGGAAGGGAGGACAGAGAGGGAGCCAACATTTGCACTCACCACCCCACGAGCAGGGGATGCTATGGGATGTGCCTGAGCAAGAAAAGGGCAAAAGTCAGATTTGAACTCCAAACCCAGGGCCAAGGCCCAACACCAGCTCTGCTGCTGGGGATCAGTTGCTCCCTCCCTGGCCCTGACTTCAGGGAAGTCTAGAAAAAGTGCTGAGCATGTTGTTTGCTCAAACCCACAGCTGGCATGAGGGCTGCCCCTGGGTGCTGTGTCAGACTGGTGGTCTGGGGGGGGTGGGGGGGGAGAGTGGGAATGTCCCACCTGACCCTCTCATGAGAGTCTGACTTTAAGATTAATAGTTTAATCTTTAGTGTCCGTTTCAAGGAAGCTAAATTCCTGTCTGGGGTATTTTATTTTTAGCCGGCTTCAGGAAGGAGAAGCTCCCCTGGCCTGTGGGGGGAGGGAGATACGAGGCCCAGAGCCGGTTTCCTGAGGAAGGGCCACAGCCCGCCATGTGCCTGACCCTGACCCTGAGGTCAGAGCCGGCCAGGCAGCCAGGAGCCAGCCCAGTAATAGCTTTCCCCTTCCTATGGAGCACTTCTGGTGTGCCTGCGCCAAACCAGGTGGGCCTTGCAATCAGGCCGAGTGTCCCAGGCCAGAGAGGAGGCCCTCCCACATGCGGGGCACACGCAGTCCCGGGGAGGCCCGGAGAGGGCGCCAGGGCCCAGGGAGGCCCGGTGAGTCCCAGAAATAGGTGCAATTTGAGGGAAGCCTGGAAGGCTGGTGGGAGGAGCCAGGAGCTCGTTGGCGCCGGTGGGAGAATCACATGCAAGGGCCCGTTACACAGACTGCGCCCCTAGGAAGGCAGGGAGCCGGTGCTCCCGGGGTTTGGACCGGAGCGGGTGGGCGTGTTGGCTTTTTTAGAAGACCCCGTTGGGTCAGAGCGCATGCCTGCAAACCTGGGAGCCGGCTTTTGTATTCGTTTCAGACAGTGCTCTCGAACGTGTTAGCCGTGATCACGGGCCCTTCGACCAGATCACATCCTACGTGGAACGCCAGTGTGCAAATCCGAGGAGAGCTGTACTTTTAATCGGCATAAATTTAGATATCTAAATGTGTAATACTTAGCTAATCCAGAACAATCACCTGTTGTGACGGAGTCCTGTAACATCAGGCTTCACAGATAAGCCGCCGAGATGGACCTTGGCACCTAATTTATGTTTGTGTGTTGCCTTGTTTTTGCTATATATATATATAACATTTTTTTAAATCTTTCCCCCACCTCACCCCCTCTCCCGGCAATATATATATTTCTTAAAACCCCAAACACCTCACTGTACAGTCTCAAGGTCTGTGCAAAATTAATTACCTTGGGAACAAAGCCAGTGGGGCCACAGAACGTGCCGAAGCGAGGTGTCTATCACGTTTGAGAGTAGATGGGTACTCTAAAATGGATTTTTAAAAGAAAGGAGCCTTTATTTTTTGCGATTTTAAATCGGCTTTTTGGAGGAACTCTGGAAGGACATTATGGGGAACATAGTCTGAGAACCGCTGTGGAAATGCCACCCTCCTGTTACAGGAGGGCCGACTGAGGCCAGGGAGGGGGCAGGGCTTGTCCAGGATCCCACAGGGAATGGGGGAAATGGTCAGACACACAGAGGGCGTCCCCGTAATGACAAGTGCGTCCTGTTCCCAAGGCAGGGGGAGAAACACGCCGGGGACCAATGCAGCCCAAATTAGCCAAGCTAATGGCTACATGCGTGTGTGTCTATTGTGTGCGCGGCCAGGAACCGGCAGTCTTAACGCTCCGTTCTCCCCCTGCAGCGATGCCCTCCTAGCCAGCCGCGCGGGATGGAGGGCTTCACGGACTCAGGGACACAGACGGATGCCGTGGTGGTGCTGTCCTTGGCTCAGGCCGCCGTGCTGGGCCTGGTCTCGGAAAATGAGCTCTTCGGAGCCACCATAAGCGCCGAAGCCTTCTACCCGGACCTGGGGCCCGAGCTGTCCGGGTCGGCCGCGGGGGAGCCCGGGCCCCCGGGCCCCGACGTCTACCAGCTGGCCTGCAGCGGGAGGGCCCTGGAGGAGCCGGCAGAAGAGGAGGTGCTGGAGGTGGAGGCGGCCTTCGAGAAGCACACCCGGCGGAAGACGCGGCCGCCCGTGCGGCTGGTGCCCAAGGTCAAGTTTGAGAAGGTGGAGGAGGAGGAGGAGGAGCAGGAGGTCTACGAGGTGTCCGTGCCCGGTGACGACAAGGATGCCGGCCCCGCGGAGGCCCCCGCCCAGGTGGCCGGCGGCGGCGGCGAGACCCTGGTGCAGAGCAGCGCGGTCAAGATGATCGACCTCAGCGCCTTCAGCCGCAAGCCCCGGACGCTGCGCCACCTGCCGCGAGCCCCGAGGCCCGAGCTGGACGCGGCCCCGTACGACCCCCACTTCCCCGACCCGGCCCGGGACGGCTTCCCGGAGCCCGGCATGGCGCTGCCCGGGCCGGAGGCCCTGCCCTCCGAGTGTGGCTTTGAGCCGGCCCCCCTGGCCCCCCTGAGCGATCCCGAGGCCGCCACCATGGAGTCCCCGGAGCCCGTGAAGCCGGAGCAGGGCTTCGTGTGGCAGGAGGCCGGCGAGTTCGAGGCCGACGCGGCCGGCTCGACGGCGGAGCGCCACAAGAAGGCCCAGCTGGACCGGCTGGACATCAACGTGCAGATCGACGACTCGTACCTGGTGGAGGCGGGCGACCGCCAGAAGCGCTGGCAGTGCCGCATGTGCGAGAAGTCCTACACGTCCAAGTACAACCTGGTGACGCACATCCTGGGCCACAACGGCATCAAGCCGCATTCGTGCCCGCACTGCAGCAAGCTCTTCAAGCAGCCCAGCCACCTGCAGACGCACCTGCTGACGCACCAGGGCACCCGGCCGCACAAGTGCCAGGTGTGCCAGAAGGCCTTCACGCAGACCAGCCACCTCAAGCGCCACATGCTCCTGCACTCGGAGGTCAAGCCCTACAGCTGCCACTTCTGCGGCCGCGGCTTTGCCTACCCCAGCGAGCTCAAGGCGCACGAGGTGAAGCACGAGAGCGGCCGCTGCCACGTGTGTGTCGAGTGCGGCCTGGACTTCTCCACCCTGACCCAGCTCAAGCGCCACCTGGCCTCCCACCAGGGCCCCACCCTCTACCAGTGCCTCGAGTGCGACAAGTCCTTCCACTACCGCAGCCAGCTGCAGAACCACATGCTCAAGCACCAGAACGTGCGGCCCTTCGTGTGCACCGAGTGCGGCATGGAGTTCAGCCAGATCCACCACCTCAAGCAGCACTCCCTCACCCACAAGGTACGGCTGCCGGCCGCCCTGGGCGGGGGGGAGGGGCTGCGGGGGCGGGGGGGCCTCCCCGGGGAGGGGAGGGGCGGGGCCTAGCCCCTGGCGCCTCTGCCCCTCCCCCGGCGGCCTCCCTCCCCCCCGGGGGCGTGGCCCCAGGCCTGAGGCTCCTCCCTCTCCTCCTGCCCGCCTTTCACCCAGTGCCTCCCAAAGTCCTGCTTCAGATCATTTAGGGGTCAATAGAGGTGGGACGCAGATGAACCTGTCTTACGTTTATAATTACATGTTCATTGGGAGGAGTATTAGAAAAAAATACAATTGAAACTCAGGGTTTTTTTCTTTTTTTTTTTTTAAGATTTTATTTATTTATTTGAGAGAGACAATGAGAGAGAGAGAGCATGAGAGGGGGGAGGGTCAGAGGGAGAAGCAGACTCCCTGCCGAGCAGGGAGCCCGATGCGGGACTCGATCCCGAGACTCCAGGATCATGACCTGAGCTGAAGGCAGTCGCTTAACCAACTGAGCCACCCAGGTGCCCATCTTTTTTTTTTTTTTTTAAGATTTTATTTATTTATTTGACAGAGACAGAGATAGCGAGAGCAGGAACACAAGCAGCGGGAGTGGGAGAGGGCTAGCAGGCTTCCCGCCGAGGAGGGAGCCCGATGTGGGACTTGATCCCAGGACCCTGGGATCATGACCTGAGCCGAAGGCAGACGCTTAACGACTGAGCCACCCAGGTGCCCTCAGGGTTTTTTTCTTAACAGTAAAACTTACTTTTTTGAAGTTTGTTTTTTTTAATGTTATGTTAATCACCATACATGACATCATTAGTTTTTTGTGTATTTTTTTAAGATTTTCTTTTTTTATTTGACAGAGAGAGACACAGCGAGAGAGGGAACACAAGCAGGGGGCAGTGGGAGAGGGAGAAGCAGGCTTCCCGCTGAGCAGGGAGCGATGGGGGCTCCCTCCCAGGACCCGACGATCACGACCTGAGCCGAAGGCAGACGCTTAACGGCTGAACCACCCGGGCGCCCCACATCGTTAGTTTTTGATGTAGTGTTCCATGATGCATTGTTTGCGTATAACACCCAGTGCTCCATGCATTCCATGCCCTCCTCAATACCCATCACCAGGCTAACCCATCCCCCCCCTCCCCTCCCCTCTAGAACCCTCAGTCTTTTTTGAAGTTTTTGAATGAACTCTTGGAGGAACCCCGGCAGGTCCCAGGGAACCCAGTTGGAGAATCAGTGAAGCAGCCTACCCTCCGGGAACGCAGAGACCGGGAGGCCACAGGGCGGTGGACGAGCCGGTCAGAAGTAGAGAAGGTTTCCTTTGCTCCTTGTAATTACAAAACTGTATCAAAACCTGGGACCTACCTTTAGGAAAAGCTGGAATATATTTCATTTTTAAAAGGGAGCAGATAGAAGGAAAAATATTTGTTATGGAAAAGGACATAAACTAGACAGAGCGGTTTGTAGGGATGGAAGGTGGGGAGCACACTGTCCTTGTCCACTGTGTCCCCGAGATCACTTTGACCCACTGTCCCCCACCGTCCTCTCCCTCCCCTCAGGCCGCTAGCCACCCTGCCTTTCAACCACTGTCACCACCCCCTCCCAGAGGCCCTTCTGTCCAAGCAGATGGAATGAGGCCTTGTGGGTCCCACAGCCTCGCTCCGGCACTTAGCCCGCCCCATCGTTTCCACCCCAAATCCAACCAACTTCACGTTTTGCAGCTCAAGGTAGAGAGCTCCCTCGTTCTGTAATGGCCACCGTAGGGCCACTCGGGGTCCAGCCTGTGCCCTCACCTCCCACAGTGAACGCGGCAGCGAGTCGGGGGGTGATAGCCTGCCAGCCCAAGAATCCAGCCTTCCCGGCCCTGGGAACGCCTTCTACTAGAGCAGAGATGATTTGTAGGCTTTTGCAGCTGCTCCCCAGTCAGCTGGTATAGCTGCCCGGAGTGTGATGTTAAGAAGGATTCTGAAGCTGAGTCTGGGCTCCGCCATTAAAGCGGACCGTGCCTTGAGTGAAACCAGATGACCGACCGACTTCGTGTCTGCAGGGAAAAGAGGGGCAACCAAAAGCACATGGGCCCTCTCTGTGCCATTTTTCTCCTCTACTAAAAATCCCTGCGAGTCTGCAAAGTGTTAAAAGAGAAATAATACTGTGAAGAAAAACCGAAAACAAAAATCAAAGGCCGGTAAAATGGAAAACATGCCTGTCATCAGCCTAAATTTGCACAGCATGCACATCATATGCACTTAGGGAGTCAGCGCCCCGAGGCAGGTCCCCCTGGTGGTCAGACACACCTTCAGTGTGTCAGGTGAGCGTAGAGACGCGCCCCACAGCCCCTGTCTGCTAACAGAGATAGACACAGGCACCTCAAAATACGAAACTGTCCCACATAAGCAGACAGCAGCCATGCCCGCACCCACATGTCTGTCCCACCGGGGGTCTACTAAATTACTGCCTCGGCAAAGAGATCAACTCCCAACCTTTGTCCTGACTTTCCTCCCCAGGCAGTACATGGGACCCCCTGTGCTCACAACGCCCTGTCCCACTCCGGGGGCCCCCTCCAGACCATGGACGAGCATGTTACGATAAACCAGAGGGTTTGCCCCTGGAATCATTGTCTCCTGGGGCCAAGTGTCCCAAACTCCTTCAATGATAAGAATCATCTGAGGGACTTGTTGAGACTAAAAATTCCTGGGCCTACTGGCCCGGCATCTCCAGGGAGGAATCTCCCAAGAGGCTGTATATGCAACAAGGTGGTTGGTTCTTATTACCAGGGAAGCTCGGAAAACTCTCAAGGGGTCAAGTGGATGGGCTCCGGAGGTTTGAGAACTCTTGTATTCAGATCCAAGTGTCATTTTTCCTGGAGTGTCCACACTTTTAATCTCAAAGGGGTCCATGAACCAGAAGGACCACTGAGAGACAACACTGAGGGGAAAAACACATAGATGTGCCCTTGACCTGAGGACAGTCCTCCAGGCTGTGGCTCTCATCTTGGCCACAGATCCCTGGTGCCTGGCGTGATGCTGGGCTTGTCTCAGGTGCCCAGTAAATGGTTGCTGGATGGATGGATGGATGGATGGATGGACGGACGAACGAATGAATGAACACATTTGCCTTGGTGCGCTGGTATGAACCTAGAGGTACACCTGCCCAGGTGGGCAGGAGACAGCAGGTGTGTGGGTAGGAACTAGAAGGCTTCCTGGAGTCAGTGGCCCCGCCCCAACATTCTCCCAGAGGCTTTCCTCAAGGGGTACCCGTCTGGAACCCACCCCCAGGAAGTTGCTTTCTAGAAGCTGTGCATACATTCAGGTACTGTGGCCGCCCCCCCCCCCCCCCACACACACACACTTCCAGGAGCTGTGCCCGTCGCATGGCCTGACCATCACCCCTCCCGCCCCTCCTCCCGCCAGGGCGTGAAGGAGTTCAAGTGCGAGGTGTGCGGCCGGGAGTTCACCCTGCAGGCAAACATGAAGCGGCACATGCTGATCCATACCAGCGTCCGGCCCTACCAGTGCCACATCTGCTTTAAGACCTTCGTGCAGAAGCAGACCCTCAAGACCCACATGATTGTACACTCGCCTGTGAAGCCATTCAAATGCAAGGTACCAGGCTGTCAGGGCCCCCAGGCAGGACGTCCCCACGGGTGGCCCCAGGTCGGCATGACTACAGCCGCTAACACCTGCCCGGAGCCGGCCTGGCCAGTGCAAGCAGGGGAACCCAGTTCGGGGGTGAAAACGCCCGGGCTCGGTGCTGTGGGTGGGGTGCTGTGGGCCGTGGTGTTCAGAGCTTATACGCTGTTGAGGTGGTATTTTTTGGAAGTTGGGGACGGGGTGAAGGTCCCTGCACAGCCAGAGGGGAAAAGCCCAGGCGTGGGACTCAGTGTGAGAGCCCAGCCCTGGGTTTTTGGTAACTCCAGCTCAGGGAGAGTGGAACAGCGGCCAGCAAGAGTTGGCTTGGGTCTCTGGCTCTCGGGCCTCTGGGGTCACCTAGGAAAGGACAGAGTGAGTGCTGTCCATAGCCAATGGGATTCGAGCCCCAGCAGGGAGGTGGGAGTGGGCTGAGGGTTCAGGGAGGGCAGGCTCCCCAAGGGCTCCTGATGCCGAGTTGGTGTGTTCCAGGTGTGTGGGAAGTCCTTCAACCGCATGTACAACCTGCTGGGCCACATGCACCTGCACGCGGGCAGCAAGCCCTTCAAGTGCCCCTACTGCTCCAGCAAGTTTAACCTCAAGGGCAACCTGAGCCGGCACATGAAGGTCAAGCATGGTGTCATGGACATCGGCCTAGACAGCCAAGGTGGGTGGGCCACGCACAGCGGACGGCACAGGAGTGGTCCTGTCACGGCACACTCAGGAGCCTCCCGTCCAGTCAGGGCCGGGGGGAGGCTGGCCAGGCCTGAGACCTCACTGGGGTGGGCTCCGGCCTAGGGGGGAGGTACCCTGGAAGGTGGTCCTGGTGCTGACGATGGGGCATTTATGTTCCTCAGAGGACTTCAGCGGGCTCACGTAAACAGTAAGAAATAAAAATCCTAACTAATACTGATCAAGTGCAGACTGTGTGCCAGGCCTTTATTAACTCACGTGCTCCCCACAGTGAAGTTGGCTCTGCTAATTATCCCCATCTTACAGATGCAGAAACTGAAGGCCAGAGAAGTTAGGTAACTCAGGGAAGATCACAGCACCTGGGCATGGGGGGCGGGGGAGGACAGACACTGTTATGACTATGACAGTGACATTTAAAAGAAATGGTTGGCTGGGAAAGGAAGTAACAAAAGGGAAAAGGGCAGGCTGGAGAGATGAGGGAAGCCGGGTGAGGTCGATCCCAACTGTACCATGGGAGGGTCTGTGGACAGCCCGGGGGAGCTCTGAGCTTCCCAGCGGCCAAGGCAAAAAGTGTAATGCAGTCCGTCACACTCTTCACAGTGCTTGCCAAAGACAGTGTAGGCCACGCACTCAGGGGAGGGGCCTCACCTCTGCGGTTGGTAGCTTATAACATCCCTAAGTGTGAGCGATATCCTGTGCCCTCCACACTCGTCAGTCGTGGAAGACCGTTCGTCTCTCTTGCCTTATTGAGGGGAGGAGGGACTTAAGAGATTCTCCTGGAAGAAAGAGCTGATGGCACCTCAGGAAGGCTCCCTGAACGGTCTGGAGCTAGTTGACTGTCTGGCATGTCTTCTCAGACAAAGTAGCAGAGGGAACAATACGGGTGAGTGGACCTGCCTGCATGACGTTACTCGCTAGCAGTCAGTCAGATGTTGGGGGATGGCTGCAGGCACCCTGCTTTGGTTTTGCAGCAGCTTACCAGTGAATGGCCTGGGTTTTCTGGCAGAAACGGGTGTCCTCGGTTTTCCGTTCTTGTGAGCAAGGATGCAACCCCATTAGCTGCATAGAGGTGCTCTCTGCAGCCCCTTCCAACTCAAAATGTGGTACGAGAACCAACAGTATCAGGATCATCTGGGATCTTGCTAGAACTGCTGACTCAGCCCTACCCCACACCTCCTGAATCAGAATCTGCACTTCAAAAAAGATCCCAGGGCGATCTGTTTGCACAGTAGAGTTTTAGAGGCGTGGGACTAGAGTGGTGGTTCAAACTTTGGCATGCATTGGAATCACCTGGAAATCTGTTAAAACAAATGGCAGGGCTCCACCCCTGGGGCATCTGAATCTGTAGGTCTGGGGTAGGGTTGCAGAATTTGCATTTCCAGCAAGTTCTCAGGGGATGCCAAAGCTGCTGATCAGGGACCTCACTTTGAGAACCTTTGATCTGGACTCTCAAGGTCTGGTTCTCAAACTTGGCTACGCATCGAAAGCACCTGGGGAATTTTTAAAATGCTGATGCCTGAGTCTCAGCCCCAGAGAGTCAGATGTAATTGATCTGGCATGTGGCCTAGGATCAGCACTTTAAAGCACTTTAGATCATTCTATGTGCAGTAGGGTTTGACAGCTACAGTCTAGCAGACCCGCCATGTACCTAACCCACCAGGAGGGACCAGAGCAGAACTTGTCCTTTTGGAAACAGCTGTCCCTGCACACCTTGCTCCCAGGGGGTGGTGAAGGCACACGCTCTTTCTGTCTGAGGTCAGTAACCAGGGCTGCAGAGGACTGCTTTCTTCCTGACTGCACCAGATGACAGACAGTAAAAGAGTGATTGGCACTTGAATGGCTGGGACCCAAGCCAATCCGCCTCTCGCATATAACCTTGGTCTGAAAAGCTCAGGCTTCACACTTACGCAGGAGGAAGGCAGCGTACATTCTAGATGGAACCATCTAATAAATCTGAGAGGTGGATCAATGTCCTTGTAAAAAATGGTACACTGTTAGCTTGTTTTAGTGTTTAGTGAACTGTATCCTTTGAAGGTATGGCACTAGGATTTGAGGAAGGAACAGCCTAGTATCTTTAGGAGTTGGAACAGCTAACCTTGTTTTATAAAGTCAGAAAGACTCACAGTTTGTCAGATGAGTAATAGACCCCCCCCCAACTCGTTAAACAATAATGAAATAGATTCAGAAAGGACTTGAAATCCAGGCCATCTTCAGAGTTGGCTGAGTCAGCCCCTCAACAATGACACCAGGGTGAGGCTCCCTCCGTCTGTTCACAGCGTTAGCTCTGATTTTCCTCATGGTCACAAGATGGCTGCCATTGTTCTTTAGGGCGGCATGCTGCTCAGGGCTTGTGCACAGCCAGTGGGACAGTAAGAGCCTCTTCCCTTTGCTCTATAAAAACCAGTGAGAATCGTGTGAATTCAAAGAATTCACAAGCAGCCCTGTCATGATTCACTGGCCTGAATTCACTCCTGACCCACTCGTTGGCGAGGGGTAGAATTGCCTTTAGACCACTGGTTCTTACTGGGGGTGAGTTTGCCTCCTGGGGACATTTGGCCAAGTCTAGAGACGTTTTGGATTGTTGTTCCTGGAGTGACGCCGGTAGAGACCAGGGAAACTGCTAGCCGTCCTACCACGCACATCCTACAGCGCCCCCCACAGGAAAGAATTATGGCCCCAAATGTTAGAAGTGCCAAAACCCTGCCTTAGACTTGTCAGGACCACCCCCTTGACTGGGGTCTGTTTCTCCCCAAAACACATCACTTCTCCTAGGTGCACAGGGGCAGAACACACACTGGGGCTCAGCCACAGTCCTTGGCAGCCAGCTTCCCAGGGTCCCCAGATCATCCCCTGGGCTTCCCTCCCTCCCTCGGATGGAAGGCAGCCCCGGGCCTCCTCTGCGGAGCTTTCCACCTGGCTTTTGTTCTGACGCTAAGAACTTTACAGTAAGATTTCAAATTGATAAAATTACGAGAGGCCTCTTGGAGTTTTTGCCTCATGCATCTCTGTTGACCTACCTTGGGTGTTTGTCCTCGAAGAGCAAGGCCTAAGGAGACCACTGGGCAAAGCCGGTCTAAAGCGCTAAGGCTGGTAGGAAGCCAGAGGTTAGAAAGGGCTCCCTTCCGCCCTTTGAGGCAGAACAGCACAGTGGGCCAAAACAACGCACTTGCTGGGCGCCCTTTGGCAAGTGGATTAACTCCTCTGAACTTCCTTTTGACCTCCTGCACGGGATTGCCGTGAGCATTCATGAGACGGTGTATGGGCAGTTCCATAGTTCACACGCTAAGTGAGTGGTGCTGTAGAAACATGACGTACAGCAGCAGGCTTTCACGTGGCCAAGGGGGCCAATGCAAAACACTGCAGAGGATGCATAGGAGGGCTGACTTCGGAGGGCAAACAGGAGTTCAGGGCCAGGCCTGCACTGCTCCCCCCACCTCCCCCAACACACACAGCTTTAGCGCTCAGGTCTGCTGACCCCTCTGAGAAGCCCCAGGAGCCTGGGGCTTCCCGGCACAGGAAGGAAGAGAGGCAGCGGAGAATCCTCTGGAAGCAATGACTAGGAAGTCCTCTCTTGAGAAAGGTCCTCTGCTTCCGTGTAGAAGGGACTGGCTCTTCCCAGGAGGCGGCATCCGGGCCTAACTGTGCCCCTCTCTTGCAGACCCCATGATGGAGCTGACAGGCACTGACCCCTCCGAGCTTGACGGCCAGCAGGAGATGGAGGACTTCGAGAACGCCTACGCCTACGCCGGGGTGGACAGCAGCGCCGAGGCCAGCGTCCTCACCGGACAGGCCATGAAGGAGATGGCCTACTACAACGTGCTATAGCGCAAGCTGGGCCGCCCAGCAGGGGCGGGGAGGGCGTGGGACGTGGGGGGAGGCCCCGCTGCTGCGGGCTGCACCTGCCGCGGCCCAGAAGCTACTGCCCCACTGTCCCGAGCCCCCCCCCCGCCCCCACCGAGTCGTTTGCACCACTAGGGACTTTTCGACCAAATGGAGACTACTACTAGCCTCAGCTGTGAACCAGGCACAGGCCCCAGGCATCTGGGGAAGGAAGGAGAGCACAGAAGGCCCAGCTCTGGGTCTCCTTGGCCTGCTGCTGTGGGAGGGTGGGAGAGATGCTGGTGGGGGCCATCTGGGGCCAGGTCACAAGGGCACAGGTCCTCAGGTCTCTCCAGGCCCGGCAGAGGGGCCCTGGCACTGGAGGAAGACATAACTTGAGCCTGGCCTTGCTTCCGCTCTGGACCAACTCCTGCCTCTAAGGGATGTTTGAGCTCCTGTGCTGGTCAGCACTGCGCGCCCCCCGCCCCCAGCCCACCCCCTTCCCTGGGCTGCAAAACGCCCAGGCCCCAGAGCCCCCTTCCCCACCCTGTTCATCAACAGCCAGGCAGGGCCCTCTGCCTTCTACCTCCTGGTGCCTCCCGAGCTCTCCGGGAGCCAGGCATGCATGCAGCCCCGGTCCTGGCCTCAGGAAAGCGGGGTGTAGCCCAGCCCCCAGCTAGTGCCCTCTCCAGCGAACCCCCCGAAGGCCCCCACCTTCCCCAGTTTGAAAGTGGGTGTCCCTAAAGTGGATTTCAACAGATGTCATCCAGTTCTTTGTTGAACGGGCCACCGCACCAGGGTCCCCCGACGTGAGCAGAGCTGGGACGTGCCTTTCGCTGGGCACACGCTAAGACAGCTGGAAGCCCCTCGAGTGAGGGGCAGGGGACCGAGAGGGGCTGTCCTCAGAGGAGGCCAAGGACCACCTGGGGGGTGGCTGGAGTGTTGTATTATTAACAAGTATCCATGTTGAGGAAGTGGACAGCCAAGAGTCAACAGGTTCCCATGAAGAGCAACATAGTTAAAAAGAAAATGAAGACCATAGAGAAAAAAAAATTTTTTTGAGCAAAAGGGGTATTTTGAAGGTAATTTATTTTTTTTTTTTCTTTCCAATTCTGTGTCGCCTATTCTTTTCTGATGGAGATCATTTTCTTTTTCCAAACGGAAGCTCCCTCGTGTGCTGTGCGTGCTTCATGCCTCCCCAACCTCGAGCGGCTGGCCGGGCAGGGCTCAGGCCTGGCCCAGGCGTGGAGGGGCCGGGGCGGGGGGCCGGGGGCGGAGCCGGACAGGCCCTGGCGGGGGGGGGGGGGGGGGGGGCCTGCACCGCCCCTGTGGCCCCTGACTCGCTCAGCCCGCGGCCCGGCTCGCCTGCTCTCCTGGCCTCTGTCCCCACGCCCCCTCCTGCCCCGGGACCCCAAGACAGGCCCGGGGCACGAAAGGGCACATTCAGGAACGCTAGGGCACCCAGACTCCTGCCCACTCACCTGAGGCCTCGGTGGGGAGGGGCAGGCAGGGCTGTCCCCAAAGGCGCGAAGGAGGTGAAGCCACCAACTTCAGCCCAGAAACCAGGAAAGGAGGGGTAACAGACGGGGTGGGGGGTGGGGGGGAACCAGCTGGAAATGCAGCCGCCCCCAAAGCTGTATCCTTAGTGAAGGACCAAGCCAGGCTACAGGGTGGCTGTGATCAGGACTGAGAGGAGGACAAGGTGGCCTCGGGATCAGGCAGCCAGGTGCCCCTTCCTTCTCTGCTAAAGCTCACTCACGCTAAGAGGCAGCAGACCAGAGGGCTGGGGGCTCACAGGAGCCTTTCCCCTCCAGAACCCCGAGGCGCCCCCCCCGCCCCCCAGGTGCCCGCCATGATGACCCTCAGGTGGCAGTGACCCCGTCACTGTAGAAGACATTTTCTCCTGCTGAGCAGAAGCCTCACCCCCTGCAAACTACCTCTTCCCACAATGTCTTTCTCCCCTGGTACCAAAAAGAACCCTGTACCTCCTCCTCCTCTTCTTTCCTGCCAGTGCAGTGGCCTTGGTCGTGGAAACCCAAGGGAGAAGGGCTGGCCCCCAGGGTGGGGCTCCCCTTTCCTCCCCCAGCCCCACCATCAGCACCGGCCCTCTGCGAGGTTCGATACTTGAACGCCCCCCTGCCCTGTGCCTTGGACCCGGGCAAAGCTAAGAGAAGGAAACAGCACAACTCACACATTTGAGCTGGGGGGTGGTCTCCGCAAGGCTCCTGTCCTCACCCCTCCCCCAACCTTTCAAGAGAGGTGCGCACGCGGCCTCTTGGGTGACTTGGAAACTCCTGGACAAATTCCATCCTAACTTATTTTGACGTGTATACAAACCAACTGTTTAGAAATTCCACTTGTGCAAAGCCCTACTGTGTTTTTATGTTCCCGTTTAAAAGAGAAGTTTACTTAGCAATAATTATAAATAAATGAATATTCTTTAGCGAGGTGACTGTGAGTGCTTCTTCCCCTGGTTCTTGAGGACTTGGTCCTCACCGTCCCCCACAAGGGACTCCCAACGAGGCTTCCCAACCCCGCGGAGGCGTCACTCTGCAAGGAGGGGAAGAAACCCAGACCATCCTTTGCATGGGAATGGCCACCTGCAGGGCCCGGCACCCACGGGGAGCTGCTCCGAGCCCCCCAAGAGGGAAGGGCTCCAGCCCAGGCCCCAGAATTCCCACCAACTACAGAGAAAAACCGCTTCCCCTGCTGACCCACCAACAGGGCACCAGGACAGAAGCCAGCTCACGATGCCACACTGCCCTTCAGAGGCTGCCAGCCCTTAAGAAGGGCCCAGAAACCTTGAGCTTCGCCCCAGGAGTTGGGCCTAAGCAGAACCAGCACACCAGCTTTTCTTCCTGCCACCCTGGGAGTTCAGTGTGATGAGCGAAGGGAGTAAGTTGTCCCTCGGCCAGATGGAGGCCACCTGAGTGAGTGGTGGCCACAGCCCATCTCCAAGCTCCCAAGGTCCCAACTGTCCAGTCTCAGGAGCCATGAGAGTCCCCCCGAAACTGGGTTGCCGAGTATTTACTGTATCAAGTGAAGATGGTACAACTCTTCCCCTGGACATGTAAACACCAAAAGTAGAATACAATCCCTGCGTAAAAGACAGCCCTTTCAATTGGATCTATTTAGCTTTAAAGCAACTTTGTAATCTTACTTTTTCGCCAAAGAACAGTGAAGATGAACCCAAGTCTGGGCCCCAGTCCCAGCCCCAGCCCCAGTCCCAGTCCCAGCCCCAAGCCCCCAGCCCCAGGCAGCCATGGACAGGACAGAGGGGCAGCTGCTGTGTGGGATCCACTTTGAAGACCCAGAAAAGGGCAGAGAGAGAGAGGTCTGGAGATGTTGAGAAGGTTAGAACCAACAAAGCAAAAAACCAGAATCTATATGAGCAGTGATAGCAACCCTGAAATGGGCAGGAGGATATAGGAACGGGATTGTGCTAGGTAATCTCAGGGAGCCCACAGGCCCGCACACCGGGAGTCCCGGGGCCCGTCAGGCGGCGCCCGGGCAGTTCGGACGCTCCCAGTGCTGCCCACTCCCCTCCCCTCACGGTGGGCCCTGACTGGTGGCGGCCGGGGACCCAGGCCTGCGGCGTCCAGTCTGTCCCGGGGAGAATCCGCCAGTCCTTGAGGCCCTATCTCTGGGGCCCTAGCTGCGCGGCCTCCTTCCCTGGGCCACAAACACAGCAGACGGTTTTGTGGAGAACTTTTTAGTAGCTAAATATGGCACCACGTGTTCCAAGGGCAATATAAATTACAGTATGCAAAACACACTGACTGGCTGAGGTAAAACGCTGTTCCTGCCTCACATCACCATGAGGGGAAACACAGACACTTTTAAAAACACCTTGCTCATATAAAAAACGTCCCCTAGAAAGGCCTGAGGCGGGGCTCCCCCGCGGCCCGCGGCTTGCTCGGCCCGGCCCGCCCGCCACAGCCGTCGGGCCGCGCTCCCGCCCCCACTACTGGCCCAGGGCCTTGTCCAGGTTGTTCTTGATGGTGTCCAGGAAGTCCGACGTGTTCAGGAAGTGCTCGTTCAGCTTCACACTGCCGAGGGAACACGGTTCGCGTGAGGAGCGCCCCCCGCCGGGCCCTTCCAGGGCAGAGCCCGAGCTCGGGCCCCCCAAGTGGCTGCCCCCTGACCCCCTTGCCCGTGGGGAGCCGCGCACCCAGGCTACCGGTCACAGGCTGCCGGGAGCCCACGGCCAAGGGCCGCAGCAAGTTCAGCAGGAACTCGTAGGGAAGGGGGGGGCAAGGCCCTGAGTGGCCAGCCCGCTAGCCCCGGGAACGGGGCCCAACGCACTGGGCCTCAGGGCTGTGGACCTGTCCCACCTCAGGCCCTTGGCAGCGAAGCGGATCCCGGAGGGGCCTCTAAGGAGCCTCTGGCTTCTTCCCACCCGGCCCCGAGGTCCGCGAAGGCCAGCCCCGCCCTCTGCCACAGGCCACGCACTTGCTGAGGCCATGGATGCAGCCTGCCAGGTCCTTGGTCATGGCTCCGCTCTCCACAGTCTGGACACACACTTTCTCCAGGGTCTGCGCAAACCTGCAGGCGGCGGGGCAGAGTGAGGCCCCAGCTCACAGAGCCGGGGCCCAGCACCTGCCCTGGGCCAGCTCAGGCCCCCCGCCCTCTCGGCTCACCTGATGAGGTCCTGGTTCCCGTCCAGCTTCCCCCGGTGCTCCAGGCCACGTGTCCAGGCAAAGATGCTGGCAATGGGGTTCGTGCTGGTGGGCCGGCCCTGCGGGGCAGGGGTCACAGAGGCATTAGGAGCCAAAGCAGCTGACAAGGGGGCCACCTGGACGCAGCTGCCCACCCCTAGACTGACAAGCCAGACCCATCCCCCCAGTCTTCCGCGCCAATGGGTTCTGAGCCCCTGGGGTAGAGGGGCACGCGACCACAGTCCCTACCACTCACCTTCTGATGCTCCCGATAATGGCGGGTGACCGTTCCATGAGCAGCCTCAGCCTCGATGGTCTTCCCATCCGGGCAGACCAGCACAGACGTCATCAGGCCAAGGGAGCCAAAGCCTGAAGAGGGGGAAGACTCCTTTCAGTGCCAACACCACCCCTCACCCACCCTGCCCTCCTGCTCGTGAGCTGCCTCTCAGCTCACAAGCCCCGACTGTGCCTGGGAGGACAGCCACCGTTTCCGGCTTGTCTACCCTTGTCCTGGGTCTCCAGAGCCCAGCACAGGGCAGGGGGCATTCAAAGGTGGCATTCGTCAGCCTGTGAACATACATCTGGGTAGCTACCTAGGTGTTCCAAAAAAGTGAAAAACTTCTATAAGAAAATTACTTGTCTAAGGGGCACCTGGGTGGCTCGGCTGGTTAAGTGTCTGCCTTTGGCTCAGATCACAATCCCGGCACCCTGGGATCGAGCCCAGTGTCAGGCTCTCTGCTCAGTGGGAAGGCTGCTTCTCCCTCTCCCTCTACTCATCTCCTCTCCCCCTACCCTGCTTGTACTCTCTCACTTTCTCTCAAACAAAGAAATAAAATCTTAAAAAAAAGAAAAGAAAAAAAATTAGTTGTCTAAGAATGTCTGCAGCTGGGGCAGGGGGAGAGGGTCTCTTCTCCATGGTTACCGGACCCTCACGCTCACCAATTCCTTATTACTTAAGGGTAACTTTCATGCCTTTCTCTGGTCTGCTATGGCTTTTCATCTTTCCATCCTAGATAGGAATTGTTCTAGTGAGAGGATCACCACTGCACTTACTGAAATAAAGCCAAAGGTTTTTATAAAACATCAGGACCCTACGTCTTTTCCTCAACAACCTGGGGTGGACTTCACTTTCCTCCGTATCAGGAGCTAGACTTCACCCCATCTCATGGAACATTGTTTTTCCTCCCTCTCCGTACTTCACATGTTGTCTACTCTCACCGCCTTTCCTGCTCTCGTTCCCAGCACAAATGGGCGAGTTCTCACAGCTACCTCGCTAATGGCCTCATCCATGCTCCTGCCACAATCCAATTTGTCTCACGGGACACTCTAGGGCGTGGGGCTTTGCCACCTTCCCCAGTATTCTCCTACATCCAACAGATTTACTGTGCAAAATGAATTCTCTGTTGTTCAAAAAGCACCCAGTTGTGCTCAATCCCATTTTCCTCCTGGAGCCAAACCTGGAGCCACAGTCACTTGGCCCACAGGCAGGAACAACCTCAAAGCTGACACACCTGGCCCTTTAGAACTTGAATTCCTGGGGCGCCTGGGTGGCTCAGTCATTAAGCGTCTGCCTTCAGCTCAGGTCATGATCTCGGGGTCCTGGGATCGAGCCCCGCATCGGGCTCCCTGCTCCGCGGGAAGCCTGCTTCTCCCTCTCCCACTCCCCCTGCTTGTGTTCCCTCTTTCGCTGTGTCTCTCTCTGTCAAATAAATAAAATCTTTACCAAAAAAAAAAACTTAAAAAAAAAAAAGAACTTGAATTCCTATGTTCTCCCTTCTCTGTAACAGTAGCCTTAGTAATACACCAGTCCAAACCTAATTTGGGAAGCCTTCCTCACTCAGATGCCAGAGAGCTCCTGCCCCCTGCTGTCCACAAGGAACCCTGCAATGAGTCAGCAGGCCACACTAGAGTTTTCTATGAAAAGGGTCTGAAAGTCCCCCAGCCAGAAAAGACCAACAGCCCAGCCCCTGGAGAGCGGTGCTCCCAGCGTACCCTGCGCCAGGATATCCGACTGCACATCTCCGTCGTAGTTCTTGCAGGCCCACACGAAGCCGCCGGAAGACTTGAGGACCTGAGCCACCATGTCGTCAATAAGCCGGTGCTCATACCAGATCTTATTCTTGTCAAAGTCGGTCTTATAGTGCCTGGAAGCACAAGGGCCTGTTGTGGGGAGAGGGCGGGAGGCTGACAGGTTGCGGATCTCCCCCCAAGCTCAATGCACTGGGACAGTGACCACCCTGTAGGCTGGGGGCTAGGGGCACAGGCAAGGAAGGCTGTGAAATCCTGCGGGAGCGATGAAGGGAGAGGCTGTTACTTCTCAAAGATCTCCTGGAAGATGTCCTTGAAACGCCCGTCGTAGGCTTTCAGGATGGTGTTCTTGGTGCTCATGTACAGGGGCCACTTCTTCTGGATGGCATACTGGAAGCAGCTGTGTGCAAAACCCGAGATGGACTGCAGGGGGAGAGAGGTCCCTGGTGTGGGCCCCAGCCTGGGCCCCGGCACCCCAGGGCCCCAGGGCCCCAGGAACGGCATCCCTTCCCTCCACACCACCCGCCCTGACAGTCTGGGTGAACCCAGCCACCCTGGAGGGAGCAGCTGCTCTTTCTACTGGCCCAGTAGCCCCCTCCCAACTTCTGGGAGGAAGCAGCCCCTCAGTTTTGCCTTGGAAAACTCCCCTCCCCTCCCCAATTCTTAGACCATATGGCTGAGGTGGGGCTGATTCCCCCGGCCCACCCAGCCGTCTCTAGAGTGGACCCCGAGTCCCGGCTTATCGTCTCCGAGCCCCTCTGTG